TAAATTCCTCTTCATATGCACATTCTTTTTGTTAAGGCGCTCTTCTTGCACCTCCAACCCAGCTTATATATAAGCTCCTAGCTTGGTAGTGTCTCATTCTTCACCTGAAGACGGCTGCTTGCGTTGTAGCCGAAACGTCGTGAGAATGATTTTATTTTATTATGTTTTATTTTTATTATTTTATTACTTCCCTTCTACGTGACTTTACCGAAAGAACCAAGAAGATGTCACAACATTGTTGATGTTGTTATGATATTGTTGTTGATTTAGAATTGACTAGTGAGTGTCATCAAGGAATCCATATAATTTGCAGTCACTTAAGTCAGTCCCTCCAGAAAAACGCGATTATGCGATCGCATGATTCCATGGAAAATCAGCCAAAGTCCGCATATTTATGCGGGGGGCGCGTTTTTTCAAATACGCCGCACTTTCGCCGCATAAATTGCAGATTTCCGCGCGCAAAATATGCGGGCTTGCATGATTTCATAATCCCCGCATTTTCGTTGCAAAAAGTCACATATATCTTAGCAGAAAGTTGAAAAATGTTGCGTTTACTTCACACAAGCGCAGCCATTTCCCCTGTTGCCATGGGAACGTTATGAAGTGACGTCACTCATTACGCGACATCATTGAAAAGCTGCAAACCCCGCGATGCCAATGAAACCATGATGAAGCCCGCAAATCTTTCTCATTTGCCAACAAACATAAGCGCAAAAGACCGCGCAAAGCAGTTTCCCAGTGTGTTACATGACAGTGGGGGCAAATTATTTTGCACTCCGTGCAACTGCGTGTTGGACCACAGGCGGAAGTCGACGCTGGACAGTCACTTTGCAACCGACAAACATTCGAGGATGGTTAAAGCAGCAGCGGAATCAGCCAAGATGAAGCAGCTCACCTACACTGAGGCGTCAACTTCCAAAACAGTTGCTAGGGCTGAAAGAATCAAGGTCAGTAGCCTATTAGATTAAAGCTTGTAAAATTATGAAAAGGCTGATAGTTAAATTGAAACAGAGAGAGGTGTGTGTGAATGAGATTTCCAAGTATGTTGTGTGTGGATGTAAGTTAACGTTAGGGTTAGATAGACTAACAGTAGTGTAATTTCCCATGCAAGATGATTGATTTTGGCATGAAAGAATTGTTTTATTTGCAGAAACGCTACTGTTCTGTGAAAGGCTTACTGTAAATGATTCAGTTTTATACAGCAGTTTTCTGTAGGTTACACTGGACTTTGTGTGTGTGTGTGTAATACAGCCCAATGATACAAAAGTATTTTTCTATTTGTAGATTTGTGAAACCTGGGTTGCCACCTGCACTGCCATCAACATCCCACTGTCTAAGACTGACCACCCTGCACTGAGGAAATTTCTGAATGAGAAAGTCATCAATGGCGGCGCCATTCCAGAGGTTCACCAGCTTCAAGATATGTACTTGGGAGCAGTATATGAGAAGGAAAAAGAGGAGCTGAAGACACTTCTTGCCAGAAAACCTCTTGCTGTGATATTTGATGAGACTCCAGATGTCGAGGGGAGATGTGTCCTGAATATCCTCCTTGCACCACTTGAGAAGGATCATTCTGGGAGGATCTTGGCCTACCTTGCAGATACTGTTTTCCTTGAGCAATGCAATCATTCCACTGTATCCATGTCTGTCGTAAGGTGCCTTCAAGAATACAGCATTAACAACGAGGATATGATTGTGTTCGACACTGATAATGCAGCCTACATGAAGAAGGCATTCACAGCAGCTCTGCAGTCGTTGTTCCCCAACTCGATACACATCACATGCATGGCACACATAATGAATCTCATTGGCAATGCCTTCCGCAAACCTTTTGTTCAGTTGAACAGCTTCATGCTAAGTTTCTCCCAGATGTTCTTCAATGCTGGATCACGCAAGAGAAGATACCCTCTGCTTCTTGCCAAACAAGCTGCCTAGAAAAAAGGCGGTCATGCCTCCAAACCCCTGTGCAACACGCTGGAACTCCTTGTTCTCTGCAGTGCAGTACCACGCACAGCACTTTGGACTGTACAAGGAGTTCATAGAGATGGAAATCGAGGTAAAAACTTCCGTCACATAATTCCTCAATACAATTAACACTTCCTTTTCTTCATCAGTTAACCCCCTTTGCACATACAAACATGAATAGTTTAGTAAGATCAAAGTAAAAAAATAATTGCATTGAACATATTGTATGTTTGACCTAATTCCTTTCTTTCTATTTGTGTTTTTATAGGTGTGTAGCAGAAGTGCTCCACAGTCTGTGGAGAGACTCCACGAGATGCTTCAAGACCAAGACCTAGCTCAGTCCCTGAATGTCCAGATCAACATCATGGCTGACAAGTGCAAACGCTTCCTAAGTCTTCTCGATATCTTCCAGAGCAGACGTCCTGTGACCACAAAGATCTTCACTTATCTGGAGGATCTGCAGGTGGTCTTTGCTGCCAACAAAGAGCTGCAGTATGAGGCGTGTGCCGAATACTTTGAAGGGTTTAACTTACCTTACACCACAAAGACACAGATCCTCTGCACAGTTGGTCAGGCATATGAAAACGCTGAAGAAAAGCTCACCAAGTACATGTCACATCGGCAGCCGGCCATTGAGTTTCTCCAGGAGGTTAGGGTGTTTGACCCTCGCCACATTGCATTCCTAGATGACTCCGTAGCAAGCTACAATGCCATTCCAGGTTTCACTGAAGTGCAGGGTGATGAATTTGATTCTTACTTCAAGACTCTTGGTCCAGCAGCACTCAGAGCTGCACCATTCGGCGTGGTGGATTTGGATGTGTTTTGGGATGGCCTACAGGAGAGACTTCCTGTGCTGAGTTCCTTGGCCAAGCGGTACAAAGATGCTGTCTCAAACTCAGCTGATGCTGAACGCAGCAACAGCATCTACAAACTAGTGTTGTCTAACCGAAGAAGATCAACTACCAACCAAAACCTCAAAGCCTTGGTCTTCCTTTACCATAACCAACGAGTCCGCAGTGGAGCATTTGAGAGGGGGGAGATGGTGGAGGGGGAGGAGATGGACACTGAGGGAGAGGGGATGGAGGATGAGGATGGTGAATGATTGGCCAGTGTTAGAGGCTACGTAGTTAGTTTTATTCAGGAGTTTATGCAACTTTACAGTTGTAAGATTGCACTTTTTTGTTAGTAGTATGTAAATTTACATTACTGTAAGACTGTACTGTTACTGTATTGCTTACGTTACTGTGCACTGAAAACACTTATTTAACAGAAGATGACTGTTTTGTATAGCTACCTCTGTAAAACAGGAAGCACACATTTTATTTTTTAATATTTTATTTATTCATTTTTACAGAAGTTGTAGCATATTCATTTTGTAAAGCTACAGAACTTGTTCGACTCAATGTTTTGTAAGTTTGAGCCATCTGTTTGTTAAGGTCTGAAATAAAACAAAATGAGAACTTAAATATTCCCAGCACTTTCTGTGATGTAGTATGCTTGCTTATCATAGGAAGTAATAAGAAATGACTCTTTACATTAAAGTAGTAGCCTAGTGAATAGGGTGTTGTGGGAATCACTTTTTTTTCTCTTTTTCATCAAACCGCAGTTTTTGCAAGTTCCCGCAATTTTTGCAAGTTCCCGCAATTTAATCGCATAAAATTGCATAAATATCCCGCATATTCCATCGCATTTTTTAAGAAAACGTGCCGCATAATCAACGATTTTTGCCCGCAACAATCACCAAAAAACTCCGCGTTTTTCTGGAGGGACTGTTAAGTAATATCCTGCACAAATGTGTGGTAAGTGCTAATACATAATAAATACATACAGGCAGACCTCGCTTGTCGCTGAACATGCGTTCCTGAAGAAGTGAGCACTCATCGAATAAGCGGTAAATGGGGTCATAATAGCATTCTATATATGCAGATGCGTTCCCGACAGCGTTATTTCTTTTGTATGAGTAATATAAGAATAATTTATTATAACATCAGTAAGTATGATGTACTGTACTCATGAGTGCATTCTACTGCACCCCTACAAGGCAGCGGTGAGAGGCGAGGTTGTTGGAGCTGCTGCTGCACTCCCAATCGCGGTCATTCTCAGTGAGGTTTATTTTAGGTGGAGCCTGAGAGACTTTATCCTGTTTTTGTGAGTTCTCATCTCACTAACATTGACATTTAAAAAATAAAAATAGATTAAAAAAAATGTAATTGTGACTACAAATCGTGATAAAACTAAGCTCAACTATTTTTTATTTTACCAGGCAAGGCCCACTGAGCTATATATCTCTTTTTTAGAAGCGACCTAGCCACAAATTGTAGCCTAATGAAGTGGCTTATCACGTGGAATTTTGTAGCAGCCAATCGAATCTCTGGGGGTGGGGTCTGGTTGGCTGAGAGCCATGCATCAGAGAATGATGGGGGTGGGTACATTTCCTCGGCCAGCACTGCTGCGTATTCTCACAAAAAATTGTAGGTGCTTTACAGTATAGATGTTTTGATCTTACATTTTTTCGTAAACATTTTCTCCAGGACAAGGAGTGCTATAAAGAATCAGCATTCTACGGGGTCGCACTAGTGAGGTTTCCCTGTTAGTACATTTGGTTATTGTGACATTTTGTATTATACACAAAGGCACTATGGGTATGCTGTGTAAACCCAGCAAGGACCTGGGTTTGATTGCCAACTTTGATGCCTTTATGTGTGAAGTTATGATCAACCCCTGTCCTGTGTGGGGTTTCTCCAGGTTATCTGGTTTCATCCCGTAAGCTAACAAAGCAATGTAAGAAGAGGCGTTAACTAAACATCCCAATGCTGAATTATTACCTGAAAATTAGTCACTTGGGATTATACATAGCAACATTACCCCCGACTCCACAGTCTTGGTCGGACCATCCAGACAAAGTATCTTGAGACTGACTGAGGCTACGCTGGGTAAGCAAACAATAATAATACAATACCACAATATAAATTATGTTCTCTGCATAATCTCCGAAATGCACCTGTGGATAAAATCCCTGTGCCCACGTATGTCAGAGTGCACCCGCGTGCTGGAAGAAGCTGCACAAGGTCAGAAGGAGGTGATGGCAATCCGCTCTGAGATTAGTCACGTGATCAAGAAGGTGGCTCACCTGCAGAGCAGAGCACGCCAGCGTGTGACACAAGGTTTGGGCCAGAAGCTAGTGGAGACCAACTGCCTCGCGGTAATCAGCGCAGCACATACCACACACAGAAACGTGCACAGCTCTCACACAGATAGTCATAATGACAATGATATGTCTTTGCCCTTCTTTTTGGGGTTGCCACAGTGACTCGGAGATGTTATTTCCCTCGCCTGGTATGCTGGAGGTCGTGGGTTCGATCCCGACCCTGCCGCCTGTATATTTGGAGTTTGCATGTTCTCTCTCCCTGTGGTCGCATGGATTTTCTCTGAGTCCTCCTGCTTTTCCTTCCACATTTAGAATTAACATCACGCGTTTAGAGTATTTCACTGCTATTAATTTCTGCATGATAAGCCTCTTCGTTAAGCTATAATTTGTGGCCAGGTCGCTTCTGGAAAAGAGCTATATAGCTCAGTGTGCCTGACCTGGTAAAAGAAAAATAGTTTAGTGTTAGCATCTCATAGTTCTTTACACACAAAATAAGAAAATTGCATCTCATCTGGTCTCAAATATTGAAAGAGCTCCCCCAGTGGCAGCTGTCCCTGAGGCACAAGGTGACTCAGAATCTGGCCCTGTTGTAAGGCATTCTTGCGCTAGTGGGAGTGATATTGCTATACCTTATCCCAGTTGAATAATTTTTGGATCATTTTTCGAATTGGACAAAATCGGACCTTGACGCTGGCACACAATGGCCTCTTTTCAAATGACGTTATGAGATCTTTAACGTTCGTTGTGAAGCAAACTGCATAGTATGAATAATTCACACCAAAGAAATAACCAGGATTCGTTGACCACACGGAACGCACACACCTCTGAAGTGGATGGTGACTTACACTCTGTTAGTAGCTTGAATCCAGTTGTGCATTAAAAACGTTGCAAAAAAGTAGAAATCATGAAACAATGATGGATGTCTTGTTTTTTCCAGCGAGCGCTGCAAGCGAGCGCAGGCCACACACGCATGGCAATCCACCAAGCACAGAGGTGGCATGCGGCGATCTCAACAGCACAGGGGTACATAGAGTCTTTGTTGTGTAGAATGGTTGACGGAGCCTATTATTATGTAGGGGTGTGGTGCGGCTGAAATCGCTACCAGGAATGCTCCAAATATGTGTAGTTAAATATTTTTTGCATGATTAATAACATCTTTCCAATGATTACTAAGTTTGTACCCATCATCACGGTTGAAATTATGTCTCTATTTGCATATTTGGATGGCCTCGTGTACAAACCTTTGATGGTAGCCAGGAGGCTTGCAGAGCACCTTAGTCTCGGAAAAGACAATTTCATGAGAGCCCACAGCGTTGTAGCAATGATCGGCAATGGCGGAAGAATCAGTTTTGCCGTGTTTCAGATCTGACTTGTGCTCGCGGACACGATCAGAGATATGACGTTTCTTTTATCCAATGTAGCAATCACCACAACTGCAACTCAGTTTGTAGACTCCAGGGTATTGTAAGTCAGGAATGACATCTTTCACAGATGGAATTAGGTCACGGATTTTATGTACTGTACTGAATCGGACTTGAATCTTATGTTTGTTTAGAAATTTAGAGATCTTTTTGGTCACGCCTTATATGTATGGTAACGTGATAGTTTTGATCGGAGTTTCTTGTGGCTGTTTCTGTATGGTGGGAGAAACAGCTTGGCGGATGGTGCGGTCAGAGTATCCGTTCATCCTGAGGGCCCGATGTACATGTCTTAATTCACTGGCCAGGTGGTGTTGGTCAGAAATGCCATGAGCTCTGTGGTATAGCGTTTTGATGAGAGAATTCTTTTGAGATGGGTGGTGGTGGGAATCGGGTTTCAAGTAGGAATCTGTGTGGGTGGCTTTCCTGTCGACAGAATGTCCCAAGGATTCGTCAGGTCTTCTCTCAAACAGAATATCTAAGAATGGTAGTTTACCATCTTTCTCCACTTCCATGGTGAATCTGATGGATGGGTGTCTGGAATTGATGTGGTCCAAGAAGTGGTTCAATGCTGGGAGGCCATGTGGCCAAATGACGAAAGTGTCATCCACATACCTCTTCCACAGGGAAGGACGCAGGGTGGATGTCTGGATGGCGTCTGATTCAAACTTTTCCATGAACATGTTGGCTATCACTGGTGACAAGGGGGAGCCCATAGGGGTACCCTCATTCTGTTTGTAGAAGGTGCCATTCCAAGTAAAATAAGTGTTGGTGAGGCAATGCCTAACCAGCGCAGGTACATCCGAATTCAATCCATGTTGGACCAAGTCCTCAATTATTGTTAGGGTGTCAGGTACTGGGACCTTGGTAAACAGAGATACTACATCAAAACTGACGAGGATATCATCAGGAGATAGTACCACGTCCTTGACCATAGAGACTAATTGGGTTGAATTGAGTACTGCCGAAGAGGTCTTGCCTGTGAAGGGAAGCAGAGTATCTGATAGAAACCGGGCCAGTTTGTACATAGGAGAGTTGATCGTCGACACGATGGGTCGTAGCGAGGTGCCTTCTTTATGGATCTTAGGAAGACCATAGAGTCATTGCTACAATGCTGTGGGCTCTCATGAAATTGTCTTTTCTGAGACTAAGCTGCTCTGCAAGCCTCCTGGCTACCATCAAAGGTTTGTACACGAGGCCATCCAAATATACAAACACAGACATAATTTCAACCGTGATGATGGGTACAAACTTAGTAATCATTGGAAAGATGTTATTAATCATGCAAGAAATATTTAACTTCCCATATTTGGAGCATACCTGGCAGCGATTTCAGCTGCACCACCCCTACATAATAATAGGCTCAGTCAACCATTCTACACAACAAAGACTCATTTCTTGGCAGCGAGTTAAGCCGCACCACCTCTACATAATAATAGGCTGTCAACCATTCTACACAACAAAGACTCTATTCCTGACAGCAAGTTAAGCCGCATCATCGTACATAATAATAGGCTCAGTCAATCATTCTACACAACAAAGACTAATTTCCTGACAGCGATGTAAGCCGCACCACCTCTACATAATAATAGGCTCAGTCAATCATTCTACACAACAAAGACTCATTTCCTGGCAGCGATTTCAGCCGCATCATCTCTACATAACAAAAAGGCTCAGTCCCTTTTACACGCACCTTTACATCATCCGCACCTAGTTTACACAACAAAGGCCCATTCCTAACAGCGTGCTTCAGCCGCAACGAACCTCACAAAAATAATATTCAGGGCCTACCTTGGCTCCTCCCACCCTCAACCAGTATATATACAAATACTGTGTTCTTGGAATTTCTCTCACTTGATACAGCTATCGTGCTATGACGGTTCCACGTGAAGACGGAAGCTTGTGTTGCCTCCGAAACGTCGTGATTTTTATTTTTATTTTACTTTCATTAATTAAATTTTTTTACCTACGTGACTTTACCGAAAAAAACCTAAGAATATGAATCCTTGCAGTCACGAAAGCTTCAAATCTAGAATCTATGTGGTGAGTCTACGGGTCTCTGTGGTGAGTCTATGTGTTTGTGTGATGAGCCCATAGACCTCTGCGAGTCTTACTCTGCGAGTCCGTGGGTGTGTTTGCGTCTGTGGTTCTGTGTGATGAGTCTATGCGCCTTTGTGTAAGTCTATGGGTCTCTGTGTGGTGATTATATGGGTCTCTGTGTGGAGAGTCTGTGGGTCTCTATGTGAGTATGGGTACGATTGAGTCTATGGGTATCTGTCTGGTGAGTCTATGTGTCTGTTTGGTGAGTCTATAGGGCTCTGTGCGAGTCTGTGGTTCTCTGTCTGATGAGTATATGGGTTTTTATGGTGAGTCTATGGTTCTCTGTGCAAGTCTGAGGGTCTGTGCGTGGTGAGTGTATAGGTCTATGTGTGATGACTCTATGGGTCTCTATGTGATGGATATATGTGGTGCACATATCCTGGCACAAGTGCCGTGGTGTCGTCACCACCACTTAGTGGAGAATGCTCCTCCCCCTGCTCCTGCTTGTTGTTGTGCTCGGGAAGGAGAGACAAAACTAGACTAAAATCTCACCGATTTGCATTTTACCAAGTAAGGTCCACTGAGCTAAACATCTCATTTTATTACACGCTTTTATTTAACTGACTCTGTTGTTGTCGTATCCTCAAATCTTGTAACTCAATTTTAACCCACTTCCCAATGTGGTATCGACTGCAAACTTGGTATACTAATGTCATACTGATGACAAAACTAGATTATATAAAAAAAAGTATTTTTAAACATTCATTTTTATATGTTATGATTTGGCTTGGGTCTAATTGTCCACGCTCAACTGACGTTGGCTGTAAATCACCACGGTCCCTTACGTTATGGCAAGCCTTGGGGCAACTTCCTGGAGTCGTGGAGTTCTGCCATTACTCGTACGGTACATTTCATTAAAGCGACTTAAAAAAAAGTACTTTTAAATATTACTTATTCAGAAGCGACTTGGCACCAATGATAGCTCAACGAAGTGGTTCATTATCACGTGTAAATTACAGCAGCCAAATACTTTAAACGAATATTCATATTCTTGGTTCTTTCGGAAAAGTCAAGTAAATAGAAAACCAAAACATAAAAATATATATTAATAAAATAAACATAATATATTGCTTTTATTATTTTCAATATATATTATTTTGTATTTTTATTAAAAAATATATTTAAAACAAATATTTTTTTTTCTATTTACGTGACTTTACCAAAAGAACCAAGAATATGAATTCCTGCAGTCAAGTCAAAACTTTAAACGAATGTTTCTAAATGTGGAGGGAAGAGGACCCGGAGGACCTGGAGAAAAATCCACGCGACCACGGGGAGAGTCAGAGACACGCAAACTCCAAATATACAGCAGGCATCAAGGTCGGGATCGAACCCAAACTCCTGTATACCAGGCGAGGAAGTTAGGGGGGAAAGCAGAGACAGCGAGAGGTGGGAGAATTAGTCAAACTCACACTCAATATTACTCACTAACCATGATACACTCACCATGATACCATAATACTCACGCATTCACCATCATACTCACACACAAGCCCACACACATCAACAGTCGCCATTCACCATTACGTGGTGGTGACGTCACCACAATAACTCAGATGCCATGGTTTGACGGCTGTGCCAGGCTAAGTGCAGGAGGAGGTCATGGGCCACTCAGGTACCATGGGTTGACTGCAAGAGGAGGGCTAGACCCTGGTGCTATGGGTTAACTCGTGTGCCACCACCTGCACAACCACCACAATAACAACCACACAATTATAATCACAACAATAACCACGACCAACAACTGTAACCACAACTATAATGTAACCACAACTATAATTCCCACCAGCCACGCGGCCGTCTGGGAGTGCCTCTAAGCAGCAGCAGGGCCGAGCTCTGCTTGAAGCTGCGCCGTGAACTCAGCAGAACGTGACGGCTGTGGGCCAGGCGCCTCCTCTGTCTCCTCCCACCGCCGCCGCCACTGCTGATGTGGACACACCCCGCGAGGTTCTCACCTTCAGGCTGAGTCAACGTAGAGGAGGCCCAGCGAGCCGCCGCTTCAGAAGCTTTCGCGAGCCACTGACGGTGGCCGTGAGCGGGAATTCAAATCAGCCGCTCGCCACCCACAATCCACAGCGCGCGCCGCCTCCACTCGGCCAAGGCCTAAGCAGAAGTAACAGCGGGGGGAGGGGGGTGGGACATAGGGGGTGAGGGGGCGGGTCGCGAGGGGGAGGGGCATGGGCGGGGGTTGCCAGGAAGGGGGGAAAGGGGGGTGGGGTCGCGACGGCGGGACAGGGGGGGCATGGGGGGCAAAAGGGGGGTCACGATGGTGGGGAGGGCGGGGGCATGGGGGGAGTCGCGAGTGGGGGGCATGGGGGGGTCACGAGGGGGGCAGGAGCGGGCATGGGGTGGGTCACGAGGCTGGGCATGGTGTTATTCACCAGGGGGGGGGGGCAAGGGGGTCGCGAGGGGGAGGGTAGGGGGGCATGGGGTTTGAGGGGGGCAAGGGGGGGCACAGGAGGCATGAGGGGGCCGCGAGGGGGAGGGCGGGGGGCAAAGGGGGGTCACGAAGGGGAGGGGCAGGGGGGGCATGGGGGGGGGGGTCGCGAGGGGGCGCGCGGGGGTCATGGGGGGGTCGCGAGGGGGGGCATGGTGGGAGTCACGAGGGGGGGGGGGGCTGGGGGGGCATGGGGAGGGAGTCGTGAGGGAGGGGCATGGGGAGGCATGGTTGGAATTGTGAGGGGGCAGGGGGCAGGGGGGGTCGCGTGGGGGAGGGTAGGGGGGCATTGCGGGTTGAGGGGGAGCATGGGGGGGCAAGGGGGGTCGCGAGGGGGTGGCGGGGCGGCATGGGGGTCACGAGGGAGGGCGCAGGGGTGGCAGGAGGGGCATGAGGGGGACCGCGAGGGGGAGGGTGGGGGGGCATGGGGGGTCAGGAAGGGAAGGGGCAGGGGGGGCATGAGGGAGGTCGTGAGGAGGGGCATGGGGGGGTTGCGAGGGGGCGCGCGGGGGTCATGGGGGGGTCGCGAGGGGGGGCATGGTGGGAGTCACGAGGGGGGGCTGGGGGGGCATGGGGAGGGAGTCGTGAGGGAGGGGCATGGGGGGTTGTGAGGGGGAGGGGCATGGGGGCAAGGGGGGTCACGAGGGGGGGGGGGGTACAGGGGCATGGGGGATTATGGGGGAGCAATGGGGGGCAAGGGTGGTCGCGAGGGGGGGGGCGGGGGGTCACGATGGTGGGGGGAGCGGGGGGGGGCGGGGCGGTATGAGGAGGCTGGAAATAACAGCTGACATGGAAACATCACAGTCAGTTAATACTTTACCTGGTTAATAACGGCCTTCAAATGATTTCTCAGTTTGTACCCATCCTCTCGGTTGAAGTGTGTCTGTTTAACACGTAGGCTTTCGCGACCAATGTTATTCCTCCACCATTGGCTTTCGCGACCAATGGTGGAGGGTTACGACACATTTATAAATAAACGCGATCTAAACCCAAAAACGTTGATTATGAAGTGTGTCTGTGTTTATATATCTGGATGGCTTCATAAACAAATCTCTGAAGGTAGCCGGTAGGTTTGCAGAGTACCTCCGTCTTGGAAAAATCAATTTCGTGCCCTCGTCGAGGAGGCAGCTCTCCTATCTTACAGTTACATGCTAATTTTTTCACATTAACATTACTAGCCCCGACCACTTCTTTATGACCCTTGGGCTACACCCATTGCAAACCTTTTACAACAGTCTGCCTCAGCAGCAGACCATGCTTTCCCACCTGATGACGGACGCTTGTGTTGCGCCCGAAACATCGTGATTTATTATATTTTATACCTACGTGACTTTACCGAAAGATCTAAAGAGTATGATGATGGTTACGATAATCGAGTGGTGACAAGATGTTAAATACCTCGCCTAGTATACAAGAGGCTGTGGGTTCGATCCAGACCCTGATGGCTGTATATTGGAGTTTGCATGTCTCTCTCGCCGTGGTCGCATGGATTTTACTGCAGGTCCTCCGGTTTTTCCCTCCACATTTAAAAACATGCATTTAAAGTATTTGTCTGGTATAAATTTACACTCAATAAGCTACTTCATTGGGCTATACTTTGTGGCCAGGTCACTTCTAAATAAGAATTATGTAGCTCAGTTGGCCTTACCTGGTCGAATAAAATTTTTACATTTTAGTTAAATCGGCTCCCTTAAATAGTAATTTTTTTTTAATGTCTGAAAAAACAATGATTTACATAAATAATGCCAGTGTCATCTTCTTGGTTCTTTCGGTAAAGTCACGAAAAAGGGAAGTAATAAAATAATAAAAATAAAACATAATAAAATAATTCTCACGACGTTTCGGCCACAACGCAAGCAGCCGCCCTCAGGTGAAGACCAGGTCTGTCGGGGAGACAGCATCTGAATGAAACACCACCACGCTTGGAGCGTATATTAAAGCTGGGTTGGAAGGGGGGAAGGGTGCCTTGACAAAAGAATTTGCATATCAAGAGGAATTTAGCATTTTTATGGGAAATGCAGGTATGTGATTAGTACTACTTGTGAAATTCGTAGTAGGTGGGCGGGGGGTTTCAAAGTCATATTATGCCCGTGCATTATGCAGGATTAGCAGCATCAAAGGGAGGGGATAGGGGTAGCATTAATAAAGGGAAGGAATGTTAATAGTATGTAGCTGCAGTAACTAAACAACCACGTAAAAAACTAAAGTATAAACTACATAGTATCATCAGTATACTAAATATACTCTCCAATAAGCTGAGCTACTAACAGTAAGTAATAAATGACAATTCTATGTCGCAAAAAATATAATATGCTTCCAGCTAAACTTTTTTCCCTTACATCACAAGGGTCTATCCCGTACTATATGCTGCCATAGACAAACCCAACATTAAATTATATACTGTATTACTATACACCACCCTATACCTTAGAATAATACATAGTGTAATATTACACTATGTATTATTCTATCCACCCTACTGTATATCACACTGCTGTATATTCACTATACAATTACGATACTATATATTGCCTTATACATTGTATTAAATATTACAATTTATACTATTTATTATTATACAATCTGCTATACACTATACCATTGACCGTCGAGTGAAAGATACTAAGAGGAAGCAACGAAATATGTCAATGGAAGAGTGGTAGTAGGAGACTTGCAGCGGAGCAAAGAATCCATTCCCTGCGGAAAATACAAGATATATAGTCATGCCAGTGAGTGGACTGCGGTCTAAAAGTCACCGTAAACGTGAACACAATCAGTTAAGATCCGAAATGGTTTATTACGTCCTTCCAATAATTGCGGAGCCAGAATCCATCTTCTCGGTTGAAATTGTCTCTGTATTTGTATATGTGGATCGCCTCATGAACGAATCTCTCATGATAGCCCGATGGCTTGCAGAGAACCTCTGTCTTGGAGAAGTCAATGTCATGTGAGCCCACTGAATTGTAACAGTGATCTGCCACGGCTGAGGTGTTTGTCCTACCGTGTTTCACGTCTGCTTTATGTTCACGGATGCGGTCCGAGACATGTCGTTTGGTTTCTCCAATGTAACTGTATGTCTGGAACCACATCTTTTACAGACGGGACCAGATCACGGATTTTATGTACTGTGTTAAATCGGACCTGGATCTTGTGTTTAATCAGGATTTTGGAGATCTTTTTGTGACCCCAGCAATGTAGGGTAAGGTGATGGTCTTGAGAGGCTCCTCAACAGCGTGCCAAGTCCAGCAGGAAGCGAATCGTTCATTGTCATTTGTGTGTAGTCTCTTGTTTATTTCACATAGGTCAACAGATTTAGGTCTTATATAGATCAAATTCAACCTCTTATATAACCCTGGATTCTTATGGTCAGAATGAGGCTTCACTAGAACCTGCATGATAAATATAAAAAAAATTGCTGTGAATGATAGACAAAAGACAATTTCATGAAGTTACTTATGTAAAACAGGCAAAAATGCTTAAGGCATATTCAACCGACCAGTCTCTGATGGGGTCTCTAGACTGGCAGCCCGTTCTCTGATGGGGTCTCTCGACAATAGATCAACAAACCTCACCCTGTTTATAAATGTTATCCTTTATTCAGCACCAGGCTCAGACATGGCCACGGCACTCTTTTGATGGATATTGCCTTTGAACAGAAGGTGGTAAAATTGACGATGACATTGTCAGGAAATTGGTAGCCCCCTTCCTTCCGCACTGCAAAATGTCCTCGGCGTCTGCTCGTGCATGCCACTTCTGTCAAAAGTGCTGCAAGCCATGGAGACTGGGTCCCTGTGGGTTTTGTCCAAATTGATCAGTGCCCACCTGCACTGCCGAAGCAGCTGCATGAAGCTCGACTCGCTATCGGATGAACATGAGTTAAATTCCCACTCGAGGCACAACTCTGCACAACTGATATCGTCAGCTCTCTACTTGATTCGGTAGGATAAGCGTCATTTTCGGAAAAGATGACAGTGGTTTTTATTTTGTGACGCTGATGCCCACCACAGGATGTGAAATTTCCATCATTCTTTCACATTTATCAATGGATATTATTCCTGCCACACACTCCATTACAGTGCTAAATAATATATATATACACAAGTATTTAGTTTAATGTGCACATTGCTTTAGAGCATTATTCCAAAGAAATTACGGTACAGCATTTAATAGAACCGGGACTTTTTTGCCAGTATCAAAGTATGAAAAAAAATAGATTTTACCCTTTGGAGCAATAAAATAATTTGCATGTTCACCATAAGTATGTGTGGTTAGTGCAGACTTGATTCCTTGCAAACGGTATCTATTTGGTGTTTGAACATCTTAACACCTGTTTTTTTGCCAGAAAGGGTAAAACCTATTCCTAATTTTTCATAATTTAAT